CAAGGAGCCCTGAGCACAGCGGGGGGACGTGGGGGACAGCAGGGACCCCGTGGCCAAGCTCCCACCTACCTTGGGGCCAGGTTTTCCCGTAGGACCGGGCAGACCTCGCTCCCCTGGGAGGCCCTGCGCAGGCAGGAGGCAAAAAGCGGGGTGAGAAGGTGTGGGGCAGGGAGTGGGGCTGGGAATGGGGTGAGGAGAGGGGAGACGGAGCTGGAATTGGGGGATACAGGGCAGGGAGCGGGGCTGGGAGCAGGGTGGGGAGCTGGGGGAGCAGGATGGGAGCGGGGCAGGGAGCCGGGAGGGACACAGCTGGCCCCAGGATGGTTCCTGTGGGATACAGGCGGAAGTTTGGGATCTGGTTGCTGTGGATTACAGTGGTCCCCAGGGTCTGGTTGCTGTGGGAAACGCCTGGCTCCAGCCTAATTGCCATGGGATACCGGCAGGCTGCGGAGCATGTTGCCGTTCGATACTGCAGACCCCAAGCTCTGTTGCCATGGGTTACAGCCGGCCCTAGGATGGTTGCCGTGGGATACAATCCACCTGGGAATGGTTGTGGTGGGATGCAGCCAGACCCCCAGGATGGTCACGGTGGGATACAGCCGGCCCTGCCACAGCAGACAGGGTGATTCCTGTCACCCCCAGCTCGGGGCCGGGGCTGTGGTTACTCACCGGGGGCCCTCGCTGTCCCGTCTGCCCAGCCTGGCCGGCCTTGCCCTGTGGGAAGAGAGGAGGTGGTGGGGACAGCAGAGCCATGGGGCAGCCCCCCACTCGCCCATGCTCCCCCCATGTGCCCCCCAAGGGGACGGAGCATGCCCAAGCGCATTTGTGAGAGGGTGTGTAGCACAGGAACGGAATGGGCAACGGGGCTGTGTCCCTTCCCCGCCTTTGAGCTCAGCCCAGCCCCTCCCTGGCTCGCAGAGGGGGTGGCAGAGCAAGATGTGGGGCACAGGGAACTGCCCGGAGGGATGGGAGAGGGTGATGCAGCCGGACAGGGCCGACTCACCCTCTTGCCTTTTTCTCCTGCCGCCTCACCCTCTTGCCTTTTTCTCCTGCCAGCCCCATGGGACCCTGGAAGCCAGTGGAGCCCTAAGGAGAGAGAGGATAAAGTGATAACGCAGGGCCAACGAGGCACTTGGGGTCCCAGGGACACCCCAAAGGCTCCTCTGTGCTCACCTTGGGGCCCTGGCGCCCGGGATAGCCTGGGAGACCTGGCACTCCCAGCTTGCCCTGCAAGGGAGAGAGCAGAGTCGAGCTGTGGGCTACGAGGGACGTGGGGACGGGGTCACAGGGACACGGGACTCCCCTCACCTTCTCTCCTGCAGGGCCAGGAGCACCCGGTTCCCCCATGGGACCCGTCTGCCCCTTCAGCCCCTCGGGGCCGTCCTCGCCTCGGGGGCCCAGCACACCCTGGTCACCCTGGAAGAGTAACGCAGAGGGGTGGGGAGCACGCTGCCAGGGGGACAGGGCTGCTCCCTGGGGTCCCCAGCTGTCCCCTCGGATGGAGCTGTCCCCCTACTTGGCTCCATGTCCCCCCCCAACACCCCAAATCCTGCAGCCAGCCAGCAAAACCCCTCAGGGCTTCGTGGCACCTGCAGCCAACTCACACAGCCCTAAGGAAGAGACCCCCACAAATCCCACGCCGGGACCCCACTTACCCTGTCGCCCTTGGGGCCCATGTCCCCCTTAAAGCCGGGGAATCCATCTTCTCCCTGAACAGAGGCACATTTTGGGGGGCGGGCTGTGACTGCATCAGCCCTGCTGCAAGCCCCAGATGGGGCCAGGGCGTGGGGCTGAGTCCCAAATCCCAATATAGAGGGGTTGCTCCCAGCTGCACCCCAGGCGCCCCCCCACCTGCACCTATCTCAGGGCGGGGGTGAGTGCCCCCCAATATCAGGGACCCACGGCTACCGTAGGGCAAGGACCCCTGTCCCCTGCTGTCCCCTCTCCCAGACCCTTCTTACCTTCTCCCCTTTGCTGCCCTTCAGGCCCCGCACGCCAAAAGCTCCCTGCGGAGACACAGAGGGGGCGGAGGGATGACCCCAATGTGGGGGACACCACCTGACCCCCCCCCACTGCACCTCGGCAGAGCCCAGCAGAGCGGGAAGCTGTGCTTACCTTCACCCCACGGGGTCCCGGGTAGCCGACGGGACCAGGGGCACCCACCAGGCCCTGGGGACAGAGAGAAAGTCAGCAAAAATGGGATATCCCCCCTTGGAAAGAGGATCCCTTCCTCCTGCCCGGGGTATGATGGGAGGTGAGCCCCTTACCTGGAGGCCCTTCTCTCCGGCTGGCCCTTCTCGGCCGGGGTGACCCTGCAGGGACACACAGGAGCTGAGCCCCAAGCCGGGACGGTGACACTGCCCCGTGGGCCCCGCTTCACCGGGGACCGGAGCGATCCCACAGCCCCTCGGTACTCACCGGGGGCCCGTCGGCCCCAGCCACACCCTGTATTCCCGGCTTTCCTGGTGGGCCCTGGGTGAGAGAAGGAGGTGTGGGAACGCAGAGGGACTTGGGGTCACCCCTGTGGCTCCCCACCGCCCGCTCAGAGCTGGGGCAGCTCTGGACCCCCCCATCCATGCTGGGTTCGGGCTCACCTTCTCCCCTGGCAGCCCGACGGGACCCTGGGGACCGGGCAGACCCTGAGAGAGAACACACCGGGGTGCTGGGAAGGGACTGAGGGAGCACCCAAGCCCCCAGACCCGTGGGGACACCCTCCTGGCCTCCCGTAACCTCAC